GCGTAGCCACTGGAGACACCCGACAGTCTTAGACTCTGTGACCAACATTGACACACGGCGCACGGCGTTCTCTAGCCGGGTGTAGCTCCTCCCCATTTTTCTCCGTTCCTGACCGACGCGGCTCGGCCCGGCCAGCCGAGAACGTGGGCGGCCATACGGACACGCACCCCCAACAGATCAGCCTCTCACACCACCGGGGCTCTTCGACCCAGGATCTGTCAAAGGAGGGCGCCACACGGACCACGGGGGAGCTTCTAACCGTAAGTCTGTTTGCCATATCATTGCCGTATATACCCAGATTCTACACACAAAGATCCACCAACATTCCTCATCACATAGATCCACTAGGCCAATTCGAATCCATTCATGTCACTTCTGGTAGTTGCGCTCCTGTCCTTTTTGTTTTTATCTGCAGTTGTGAATAGACAGGGTCCTCTCCCTGGAGTGAGGAGCTTTGCACACCTACAAACAACAGCCATCTAATTGAAGTTTGCCCACAGGAGTGCGCTTGATCTTTTTTGTGTTTTCTATGGGAATGTTTGACCATTCTTCCAGAAACATTCCCATAGACACACTCTTAAACCTTGTGGACAGCCTTTCCAGAAGAGTTGAAACTGTTATAGCGGCAAAGGGTGGACCAACTCAATATTGAACCCTATGGATAAAGACTGGAATGCGATGGGATGAGAGTTCTGGTTAGTTGAATCGGATAACAGAGAGTTTACTGTATTTTCAAAAGGTCTTATTTTATTATTTTATCGTACGATCGCGTAATCACCCGCGATTATGGTACGATCATTGGCAGGTGTATGGACACCTTTAGTGTATGTGTATATTAGGCCCCATTCACACCTACAGTATATTTCAGGTGTGATTAGAGATTCCTGTGTCAGGAACTTGCGTTTTCCTGAAGCAGGAATCCCTAATCTGCCGTTTACAAGCGGCAATTATCATGAGATTATTTAAGAGGGTGTCTTTAGGGGCGGAGTTAAGACCGGGGCAGAGTAAGGGTTAGGTGGGGCAACTGGTGGCTAGTAACTCTTAAGGCCTGGCTAGTAGCTCAGGACTTGAAATTTTGAGCCCTGCTGTAGATGATGATATATTTAAAGTCTTTGCAATTTTACGCTGTGGAAGATTATTCTGAAATTGTTCGACAATTTGTAGACACAGCTTTTCATAGATTGGTGAACCTCTGCCCATCTCTACTTCTGAGACACTCTGACTCTCTAAGATGCTCTTTTTATACCCAATCATGTTACCGGCCTGTTGCCAATTAATCTAATTAGTTAAAAAATGTTCTTCCAGCTCTTCCTTGTTAGTACCACTTACTTTGCAGGCTTTTTGTTGCCCTGTCTCACTTCTTTTGAGACGTGTTGCTGCCATCAATTTAAACATTTCCTTTTTTTTTTGTCTTTAAAATGGTCCATTTTCTCAGTTTAACATTTTGATATGTTTTCTTTTTTTTCTGTTGTGAATAAAATCTGGGTTTATGAGATTTGCAAATCATTGCGTTATGTTTTTATGTAGATTTTACACAGTGTCGCAACTTTTTTTGGAATTGTGGTTGTGCTAAGCAGATTATTAAAAATAAGTAATAAAGGCTCAATTGCAAGTGTTGAAAAAAAAAGTTTGGTTATCCTAACTAATCAGCTGAAGTTTGTGGGTTTGAATGCATTAAAAGTTTCCTTTATCTGCACTACATCGTTTGAATCCCATTATACAATGTGGTATTCACTCTAGCCCAATACGAATAAGGGAGTATTGCAAACCTGGTAAATATTTTCTGAATTGGTATTTCCCCAGGGGTGGGCGGGTGCTGGTTGCATTAACTTTCCCTAACAGTTCACACAGTTCACGTTCAATCAGTTTTAGATACGTTGTCCATTTTTAGTAATATGTATTTAATTTGTTTATTTGTGCAGCTAGTTAAATTTTCGTATTGTCCAACATTATTGACAAGAGGAGGAGACCGAATACGGAGCAATGGAAAGTTTGGGGGCTTACAAAATAGGGCCCCTCCTCTAGACTCACTCAAAGGAATGGTTTTTGGAGCACCATTACCCAAACAATATGAAACACTTTGTATAGAAATTGGTATGTATTCGTTTTTTAGCTTTCTATTGACTCATTTATATTTGTTAGATCATTAAAAAATATATTCCCTTTTAGCAAGCATATGCTAAAGGCAGTAGGCAATTAATAATGCATACAAAATTCTCTTGGTGTAAGTTGTAATTTTACCTAGGTAAATATGGAGAGGTGATTATTATTCAGTATGAGCTTTTATTTTAAATTGGCGCTGATACAAAAAATATTGCTTTCTGATGATTTAACTGTACTAATACATGTAATGATAACTTTCAGTATAGGGATTTCTGTTGAATATTATATATACCTGTGGGGAGGGGGGGTTTGGTGCCAGGTGACCTTGTCGTGAGTATATAGATAACAAATTCTGACTTTTTCTCCAATATTCACATTGCCATATGCTTTGAATCATGGTAATGACAGGAAGCGATTCCTGACACCTCTGACAGTGTTATAGTTTATAAAGTTAAATGTGAGATAAAATTTGAATGAAAATAAATAAATTCCAAAGCTTCGGTTCGGTACTATAATTAGCAGTTCAGTATTGTGACAGTGATTTCTGCTGACTGAATAAATAAGGATGACAGAGATTGTACTGACATTTGACTTTCTCCTAGAATCCCACACTCTTAATTATTCATTATTCTAATTATTCATTATAATATAATTAATTTCTGAGATCACTTTTTTTTACTGGGGTTGGATTTTTGTTTTCATTTTGCAGGGAAGGTTTGTCATTTTGCTGGCTGGGGAAATTAAGAGTTTAGATACTTGCACTTGAAAGTAAAATGTACAGTGTTATAAATGTTACTATATATTATGTTCAGCAATTAAAATATAAATATATATTCACACAGCAAACTGAAAAATACCTTTAAAAAAATTGTCTTACCTTTTAGATGTTTTGTTAAATCAGGCAAGATATCTGATTCCAGGTTTTTCTTAGCCCTTTCACAGTGATCTGTAACAATGGAAAGTCTTGGGACTGAAATTGGAGGATTGTGCTTTTCTGATAAGCTTCATTAACATACAAGCCACCTCTTAATGGGCAAGACCCCTCACAACCCTCTTAACATTTCAAAGAAATAGAATCAAGAATAAATTTTAACCCTAAAACCCTAACCCAAGTAAAAGCAATTTAAACTGCATGAAGCATTGTTTATTTTATTTAGCTCAAGTTATGTGAATGGGAACATGTAACAAATATAAAATAGGTGTTATCCCCATTTGGCTGCAAAAGTGGAAATACACAAAAAATGTTTTGGTTTTTTTTGGGTTTTTTTAAAATTATTCCTTTAGTTTCCTTACTCATGATGCACTGTTCATGTACTGCATTTCTAAAGCCATATGCTTAACACAGAAAACGACATACCTATAAGGTGCATGTCGGATGGCCTGCTTTTTAAAATGACTTTGCCTTATTAAATAATACTCTTGAAAGTGAAATTAATAATTTCAGAGATTTATGGTGGGTGTTTTTAATTGTCTTTTAATGTGTGCTTGTTTTTTCTATGCCAAAATCCCCTGTATTTATGAGCCTGCTTTTTTTAAAGATTTGTTACAACAGTATTGTACAACAGTAAAAAGATCGCAGAATGTAGATAAAGAGCTTAAGAAGCAGATTGAACATCTTAACTCATCAGATATGCAACAGAAGAAAAAGGAGTTGGATGAGCAGGAGATACTCCTAAAGAATATTGAGAGAAGTCTGGGTGAGTAGCATCATTTTATTTGGTAGTATTATTTCAGCACAGAAAAAGCTTAGAATAGTATTTCCTGATCATATCACAAGACACAGGCAGATAATTGTGGAAAGTGTTTCATTGTCTAATCAGCTTTCAGTACATTACAGGACACAAGCAGTTTGTAATTTGGAACCAATGGGTTTATGCAGCTACCTTCAGGTAATTGGAAGATCAAAGCTATAAGGACAGCCCTTTATAACCTCTCCCACTCCCAGCTTGCCTCAGTTTTTTTCCTAGAATTAGGAGTTAACATGAGGTTTGTGGGGAGACTGCTGTCCCTTTTTTTTCTGTCAAAATTGGCACCATTTTGAGCTCCCATTGGCGGCCTGCAGGGCGCCTGCGCAGCCTCCCTGTGGGGTCCTGTGATGCACATTGCCGTGCCATTTTCTGCTGTATGCTAAGCTGGCCTCATGCTGCTGCGACTCTGCACCACTACATTAGGTCACCCTTTCTGCCTGCAGTGTCTAGACACAAGGCATCTTCCAACCTCCACAGTCATGGGTTGCAGTAGTGCATCATAGACGCAGGGAAGCCTGGACCGCATGGATCTGTGGCCACACGCAATGGTTCTGGGGATTGATCTGTTCTCTCTAGGGTCATGGTTTATGCTATACTCTGCTCTTTTTCCCAGTCACTACCCACTTCAGGTTCCTCCTCAGCACCCTCATCTATCCTGCTTTCTAGAAAAGAATTTACTTCTTTAATTGCTAAACGTATGGGGAGAAATGCCTGACCTATTGGACCTATTGGAGACCTCAAACTGCAAGGAATGCAAGCAGACCCCTTTAGAGTCTTCCTTTGACCTTATTATTATTATTACTACATAGTATGTATATAGCGCCAACAGTTTGCGCAGCGCTTTACAATATAAGGAAGACAATACAATCAGAATACAATTCAAGACAAGATGGTAAGGAGGGCCCTGCCAATCTAAAAGGGGAGGGGGAAGTGATACATGAGGAGGTAGCTGTGTGAGGATGAATTATTTGAGAATGTGAAGGCTCAGTGGTTAGTTTGAGGTGGGATAGGCTTCCCTGAAGAGATGAGTCTTTAGGGAACGCCTAAAGGCAGTCAAGGTGGGAGATAGACGGACAGGTTGGGGTAAAGAGTTCCAGAGGATGGGAGAGAGTCTAGAGAAGTCCTGGGGGCGAGTATGGGAGGAGTTGACTAGGGAGCTGGAAAGCAGGAGGTCTTGGGATGAGCGGAGGGGACAGTTAGGATGATATTTTGAGACAAGGTTTGAGATCTATCCGGGGGCAGAGTTGTGGATGGCTTTATAAGTGAATGTTAATATTTTGAATTTTATTCTTTGGCCGAGTGGAAGCCAGTGTAGTGATTGACAGAGGGGGGATGCAGACACTGAGCGGTTGGTCAGTTGGATGAGTCTAGCAGCCGCATTCATGATAAACTGAAGGGGGGATAGCCTGTGTAGTGGTAGGCCAATGAGGAGGGAGTTGCAATAGTGAAGACGAGAGATAACGAGGCAGTGTATGAGTAGTTTTGCGGTTTCTTTGGTGAGGAAGGAGCGTATTCTGGAGATGTTACGAAGGTGAAGGCGGCAAGATTTGGATAGTGCTTGGATGTGGGGGAAAAAGGTGAGGTCCGAGTCAAGGATGACACCTAGGACCTTGGCATGAGGGGAGGGCTGGATAGTTGTGTTATCAATCCTAACCGAAATGTTGGGGGAAGGTGCACGGGCAGGAGGAAATATCATGAGCTCAGTTTTTGAAAGGTTGAGTTTTAAGAA